CCCTTTAACTACCAGGAAAAGTGTTGATATTTCGCCTCTCTCTTTACCATCACATTGATGGAAAGCGAATTTCATAGCCTATTTCAAAGTCAACTTTGCTTGTTTTAGAGAACCTTTAATACAACTTCACTGTGGTAGGCAACTTCAGCAAGCGACCCATCTAAACAGGCGCCATGAAGACGCTCTTTCTTCCCCTCTTTCCCACTCACACATACAAGGTTGAAAAAAGGGAGAAGGACTATTTCACATCCCGCTCTTGCATCCAGAAGGTCCAGTTTTATGCATTAAGGCACCGATACGACCACCCAATTTTTAGGCACACTTGAAGGGGCAGTAGCGGCTTTGGTTCTTTCCTTTGCGCCCATTTAACACAAAAAAAAACATTTATAAGTAGGCGTAGGTAGCATTAACATTATGCTCCACAAAGCCACTCTAAACTGCTCAAATTACTTGCATTTTTTGTCTTGTACAGAAGTGAGGAGCTCTTTTCCGCACCTTTTAGCAACACTACCAATACCTCGTGGGCAATACTAACAAATTCGCCCAACACGAGAAGAAGTTGCGACTTGTTAGCGTCCAGTTCGAGAAGATTAAAAAGAGACTTTCCAACTGTGCTCTCAGTGTCTCCGCCCACAGGGAAGTCATTAATATGCTGCGGTAAGTTGAAGAACATGTGGGTCTTTTGTATGTGACACAATAGCTGCTAATAAATGGCAGGTCAAGCATGAGGGAGAAAAACACACAGATCACATTCAAGTAAATAAGGGGTGCCTAAACGTCAAGTTTAACTCTTATCCCTTGCCTTGACTTATCTTTTGGGCGCCTATGGAAGGACAGGTCTCACAGGTACATCCGCTTAGACTCGAGACAGGAGGCAAGTAGTATGGGCTCCAACAACTTTGTGGGTGCAAAGTCAAATGAAGATTAGTTGCGCATGTTAGCTCTGCATCTCCACCATCGTGATCAAAATGTTTGGTAAAAATTAAATATTCCTAAGCGTTCGTCGAATTTTCTGCTCCCTGAAAAGAAAGAAGTGCAAATTCAGGTGTCTGGCACTTTTCGCGTTGTTGACAATTCGGCATACAGATTAATGTTGTTGAGCGCACACCTTAATCGCCTCATTCTCCTTCACATCAGTAAAGCGCATGAATTTTTGAGTTGGCTGACAATTCCGACTTCCTAAAAGTTAATGATTCTTAAAGTGCAGAGAGAGATAAAAGTACAACATGAGCAACGACATCATTTTTGTTGTTCACTGCCAATAAATAATCTCTTGTTCACTTTCATTCAAATCATGCTGCCATTGCCATTTTTCAAGTATTTTTTCCAAGGAACTTGTAGCTCGATGATCTCATTAATTACCTCTTAAAGGTCAGGATTAGAAGGTATCATTTGCTCAATCACGGAAATTAGTTTTAATGCGTTAAATGCACGAATCTCATTGGCTATACACAAATGGCCGATTAGTTAAAGATTTTGGGTTTGGCGGAATCTGGCAGTTTTTCCGGGCTTTTAATAAAGGGAAACATTAAATACCAGTGGTTGATGGCATTTTTTGGTTTTTATTATTACTGATGAGAAATTTGAAGCTTCTACGCGTAGTTTGGATCGCAAACCTCTAGGAAAGTTCGGGAGTTGAGAGGACACAGGAGCTTTTAGTCAGCGAAGTAAAGTACCTTCAAGAGCTCCTAGGTGGGATTAATTGTTGCATGTTAATGTGGAGGGGTGGGTAGTTTAGGCGCTCTCATTAGACAGCCCGGAATGGTAATGTTGGTGGCGGAGGAGGATCCGGTGGACTTGGACGGGAACAGAGGGGGCGTCAAGGGTTCTGGTGTATTTTGCGGTTGCATTGCGCGATAACTTATCAGTCTTCGGGGGGAGGGGGGGTGGTGAGTTGTGTGTGGGTTGTGGCTTCAAGGGTTTCTGTAGCGCCACAAGGCCTCTCATCGGGCAGAAGAAGCAGTAAAAGCAACTGATTACATGTATTCCAAGGAGAACAAAGTAATTAGGTCTGAGTATGGCCTGAAGGCAAGCTCACGTATACAAGGGTCAGAATAATCTTAAAGTCACCGCCAGACATCAGGTGGTCACATAAACAAAGCACTACAATGTCTTCTCAACCTCAACTTTTTGTTTCCATCCTCAAAAATAAAGCAGAAGGGGAAAAACTGGGACTTTAACCTCCCTGCGTGTTTTCATTTTCAGAACTCTTGAAAGCGAGAATCAGTGGATGACGCAGAAACAAATTCAGTTAAGTTGTGACATGACCATGGCTTCCTTGTTGGAGGTTCGAAAATTGCTCATCAGACATCAGAATCTCACCAATGAGGTGGGACATCGAAAAGCCAGAAATCTGCCACTTATAAAGGTAAATCAACTTTTCCTTCCCCATACCCCTCTCCTAAGTGCCCGCCGTGTTTGTTCGTCGCTGAATAAATGTCGGTGATATGAAGAGACGATTTGATTGACTGATTGCGTGTAGCATTAGAGAGGTAATTTATAAGGCGTGGCGATTCTCTCTGCCGTTGAAAGTGGAGTAGGTTCTACTGCAGTCAAAGAGTGTCAAGGGAAGAAGAAAGGTCTTCCCAAGATTGCATCTTGTATAGGAATTTTCCTCATTCAGAGATGAGGAGAGGACTTTTGCAGAGGGAATAGCAGACCTTCTGCCAAATGAGTAGTCTTGACACGATGAGGGGAATGAAATTTAAAAAGGAGGATGTTTATGGAAGGATTTGTCAACCACCTAGACGGCGCTTGAGTGGCTACAATTTGGCGAGGCACCTCATTCTCCGTCACCTCAGCCAACCGATGAGAAAACCTCCTGTGCGGTGGTCTTAGCAACGCATCAGCATCTCAAAAAGGATCTCTTTGTCAAGATTAGCAAATTGGTGTTTCAACAGGCCGTGGTGGATCGTGAAATTGGTGTGCGTTGTGCCCTCCTCCATCACTGGCAAGCTTACTTTGTTCAACAAATGGATCTGTTGGAACTCTACAATTGGCTAACTGAGACAGAGTCCACGGTTATGATTGAGTGTCATGCAGCTCGAGGACTTGCTTCAGCCCACGCCGCCATCAAGCAGCACTTGGCAGTTGAATTTGTAGTCTCCGAATTTCAGGCGCCAAGACTACGACAATTGAGTAAGTGGAGGCGCCTTTTAATCCATCCTTCCGTGTCATCACTCTTTGTGGTTTCAGTAATAACTTTTGAATGCCTTCAAACCTCACTCTTTATGATTGCAGGAATGACAGGCTACGAATGTTTTTATGATAATGTGGAGGTTAAGCGGTTTGGGAGCCCCTTTGAAACCATTCAAATGCGGTGTTGCCTTCCAGAACAAGAGACTAGCTTGGTAGTCAATGTATGACGCAATGTTGTCTTCTAGAAGTCACCACTGAGTCCCACTTTGGTAGTTGTTAGATCTTTAACTTTTGGAAATGAGATTTGGATTAGTTTTCCACCTCACTCAGATCATTTTGGTAGAAGATGATCGCTTTTGACCTTCACAGGTGCCCAAACTGCTGATCTTCTCACTGTAATAGCGAATATGTTGGTGGAGGAAAGAAAAA